TAAAGATGGTGAAATAGTCATCTTAGAACGATTACTTGTAGATATTCTGCTTAACTAACTCACAGTGTATTATTTATTTATTTAAAAAAACCAACTGGATTCACTATTTCGACAATGTAGTTCAAGGTCTAGGTAAAATATACTACAAAACTGAAAGATTTTCAAATTCATTTCACAAACTTCTCATATACTATACACTAATCCATCTTTTCATCTATAGATGATGCTATTTCTATAGATGAAAACAATCAATCAAAACTTGATAACCAATACCTGCTTCGGTTTGAGCACCCGGGCAGTATCACAGCCCTCACGCATATCACATGATATTTATGTGGCACATATGTATTTAGTGCCTCCTTGTACCAATATCTATGTGTTAAAATAAATAAATGATATAACCAATCGACATTGTAGAAAAAATGGTGTCAAATATAACTTTCTATGTGATTGACAGGTAGTTGTTAAACACTTAAATCAATCAAATAAGAAGTTATTAGACAAAAGGTTATCAATTTGATACAATTCTGCACTACATATTAATAGTTGAGCAATCCTAAAGAGAGGGAAAGAGACAGTAATTACGAAAAGCGTACAAGCATGTACTAGTTCAAGCCGACCCACTATTTAAAAAATGATAAAGTAGAAATATATATTAAAATGAAGAAGATAAACACGCTCAGACATAAAAGAAAAGGATATTGAGATTTTAGAAGAATACAAAAGATAACATTTTCAATTTCAAATAAACAATATCTGACTTCAATTAATAGCTAAAACAAGTGGCTTTACGAACTGATTACACATGGCAGTCAATTCAATCCTAGCCGCTCTATGACTTCTAAATTCATCAGAATAGTAGGTATAATCATAAGAAGGACTCATCGTATGTTAAAAGAATACTACCAAGTTACCTTGGTCGATGTATTATCATTAGGAAATCCACGAACAAATAGTTTCTGACCATTATGGAAGGCAACAGGCGCGAAAAAAAGAAATGACGAATATCATTGGAACCATGAACTGACCAGTGACAGACCAATATAGGAAACCTGGAAGTACTAAACGGCAGTTTCGTTCTGGGACGAGACTCCTCAACATTGCACATCCACGATACCGCAGGCGGGACTCAAACACAGGGCGTTCGGTTCCGCTCAAGCACTTAACCCCTAGACCACTGAGCCGACATCCAATGGTGTTAATGTCTAATCTCAACCAATCCACGATATTGCGCAATCATCTCCCATTGTCTTCGGTGGGTAAATGCCTCACACACGACACAGTTTAGCTCCATTGGTCACGCTTCTCACTAGAACTCCGGAAATTCCCTCTTGAAGATACTCACTAGTGAGGGCATGATAATTTTTCGTATGACGTTGTGAAGATTGTTGAATTTCACTGAGGTCATGAACCCGTCAACCATCTACACGATTCAGCCCAACTGTCGAAGCCTTCGTGGATTGATGGCACGAGCTTCCTTCCAACCTGCTTCTACAGAAGATCGCTTATCGTGGTAAGTGATGACCAAGTATACACATTTCCCAATCACCTCATGTTGTAACGTGTGAGACTGCAGGTTTTGATAGGCAGCGTATTTATCGATCGCTTCTGTGACAGTGGACACGTAATGGACGACCTAGAGCCCTGATTGGTCCCGCTTCGCAGTCTGTCCCAGCCAGTTGAGTCAGGAACACGAGTCACAGCCTCTGAGTTATGAATCATTGTATTTCAGACATACTCTATTTATATACCAAACAAACAAACCACATCGTACCATAAAATAGGGAACAACATTTACAAAATATTTAACAAGTGAAATAAACATCAACCAATAAGAAATGTACATTTAAGGTCCAAGGCCACCATAGACTTAACACGATAATTATTGGTATATTTTTCTGACTATCCTAACACCTCAGTTGAGGATTCACTGCCTTAACGGTCGATTTTCCATATTTACATCGTACTTTAAGCCTGACCTTGACATAACTCACGCGGTGATCCGAAAATACACAGGCGATGCTCCAAAGACATATATGATCGAAAACAAGTATCTACAAATATTCTCTATTTTTAATAACCATGTTTCACATCCATAATATAGAACAAAGAGAATTGATGAGTAGAAAACTCATCTTGTTGTTGGTAGATAGGTATCTAACCTAAGTGACAAGTGATGCAAGTTGGCGAAGGCTAATCGAGTCCTCCGAATCCAAGCTGTGACAACACTTGTGTCATCTACAAATACATTTGACATACCACTTCCATATTGCATAGTTTGATTCCTTCATCAGGTAACACGTCTTCGAGAGATAAGTGAATTTAACAGCTACATGAAGCACTCAAAATACAAATCGAATTTGAGTGCAATTGAAACATTGCCTACGTACTAGAGCGAATAAGACTTCTGAGTCACACAAAAATTTAAACGACCAGTTTCAAATAAAACCCACTAAATATATTTCTCACTTGTCTACTTTACTCGACGAACAATATATCTTACAAGTGAAAAAAAAGCTTTCAATTATAATTTCGCATACGTTCTTTTCCCTAGCTTTGTGACGCTTAATCCTGGTATAATACTGCTTGATAGAATATGAAATTCTAGCAATAATTCATATTCTTCAAAAAAATTTAAGAGCTATGTCATCACCACTCTCCATAATGCATTCAGAAGATTAGCAACTTATAAGTACTTTTTAGCTTAAGGGCGGTTTGAAATATCTAGACTTATCATTGAATAAGTTGAAAAGGATTCGCATACTTATTTAATACCTTAATTTCATATAAGAGCGTCATGTTATCTATAAAGGAAACAGAATGTCTCTCATCTTTATAATCATCAACCACATCGTGATTGTATAGTCAATACTAACAAATGTCCAGCAAATTCATGAAATAAAATGTAGAATATGTAGGAAGTAAAGTCTACGAGTTTCATTGGGCGGTATGAATTTGAGGTAAGCATTGTAAACATATTAACGATGCGATGTTACTCAGTCGAATATAGCGGAGCCTGGCACATGTGTTTCAGCATAAGTTGTCACCCTAAATCAGTACCGAGGGATGACATTATCAAGGCATTCCATGGTAATAATAGTATCAGTGGAAGTGGGGAACACTAAATATAGGCGATGCGAGAATAAATTCATGGAAATAAAACGTATATGATTTCAAAACTCCGGATTTAAGAGAACACAAGGAGTGAATGTATCTCTGACATTGCGGCCTATTCTGACCAATATCACTGTCCCCAACTGCTGGCTACGATAATTGCGATGTCATAAAATTTTGTCGTTAGATGGTTTGGACACTTATTATACATCGACTTAAATGCATAATGATGAATGGTCTATACCAGATGGAAGCCAGAGACAGTCAAACAGAAAACTGGACTGAGTCGTGTCGATATGTGCAGTTTGACTAGTTGGAATTTGCAGGATCGACATGATTTTAAATCACAGATTACCTGGGATGGAACAAAACTCATTACAGTAAACCAGTTTCATTTATGTTGTATCTACCTGCAAATCTTATTTTTAAAATCACGGGATTTTTCAATCTTATTTTCTAATGCATGATAAATGATCACATTAGAAATAAAACTCAACGTAATTATGCAACTGTGCGCTAATGTATACATTAAGTCATCTTAAACATTTCGCCATGATCGGTAAAACTAACCAGATACACTTGAAATACCTTTCTAGAAGAATAGTACCCATACTTAAATCGCTAAGTTGTTGCAAACCTTAAGACGCATAGTTATCTCAACTAAAGTTGTTTACTGATATTGAACATTGCATATTTGAAAATGTCCTAAACAGAGAATTAAATCTTCATTTACACAACTCTTAGCCTAATATTATAAAAAAAAAACAAATACAGCTATTGTATTTCACCATCAATGACTTCTATGTTACAAATTATAGGAAACTGGCTTATAGTATATGACAGTATAATTTCTAGTCTAATAATCTATTCTATTTAGTACACAACTAAAATCCTAGATTTAACTTTTTTTTAAAATACCTGACAAATCGTTCAATAAACACTTCAAAAGTATGATTTACATTTTAGGTCAATTAGAACCCAGCGCATAAAGGTAAATTATCAATAGTGATTTCTTGCTCAGACTGTATAAACAGAACAATTACTAGATAATAAAAACTTATGTCAGGAAAGGATTTTTGTGGATATTATAGTAATTTCAATAGTTGAGATCATGAGTCAAGTGAATCTAGATCACTATGGAAAATCTGGAAGCACTAAATAGCCGTTCGTCGTATTATGGGACTCCTCAGTAGTGCGCATCCACGAACCCATCCTGTGAGATTCGAACCAAGGACCTATCGGTCTTGTGTGCGAACGCTTAACCTCTAGACCACTACTGAGCCGGTATCCAACGGTGTTAATATCATGGTTATAAAGATGAATTAACTGAAGTACTCTACACAATACTTGATTGAACATTTTTCCTGTAAATGAAATTCACTTAGAACTTATAATGAACAATATACGACAGATACCGACCGTAGCTGCTACCATGATGCGGTGGTCGGGCTTGTCTATCGTGATGACCCAACCGAGTTATATTGGCTGGAACATATGTTCCTGTAGGTTCTACCATGCCAGGCAAGTCGATTGGAGAACGGTAAGACTAAAAGCAGCAACTCAAGGTCTGAGGGCGAAGTCACACTGCTGATTGTAGAGGGGTGGACAGCAGTAAGGTGTTTCCCTCGGACAACGAGCATCTGCAGCGATGCTGCCTTCTCACAAGGAAGGAAGAAGTTAGAAAAGGTCGACCCTAAAAATGTCACACCTCACGGATTTCCGTCTCCGGCGGTAAGGCTCTTTGAAGAACGGAGCTAACATGTCAAAAACCTCCCACAAAAAAGGTCGTGCACGACCGGCCTCAAGCAAGTGTCCCTTCGGCTCTGCGGTCTTGCTCCCAGGTCGTTAAGGCCAACATTAATCCAACTTCCTTTTCAGGTTCCTCAAGAAATACCCTTCCACGGTGTGGGCAGCCGGGAAGTGACACCAGCCCTCATACTCGTAACAGCACACTGACTGAATATACAACAGATACATATACATATATTTATATATTGCTTGACGTTTAGCATTTTTGAAGAAAACAAAGTGAATGCAACAATAAAATATAAACGTAGAAATGATTAGAAATAAAAGTTGACATTAATCATAATAATAATGACAATGTATGATATATTGTATTAACAATAACAAAACAAATATACACTTAAACTGTTATATATAATAAATACCAACATGTATAGATTATATACAACATCAATTTTAACAGCATAACATAAGTGGACAGTAAATATAGATAGATAGATATTTGATTTTTTAAAAAAATAATAAAAACGAAATAAATTACAGTAATATTGTAATAAGAATTAACATAAAACTATGAATGAATAAGTTAACTAATAAACATTAGTATTTAATCCTATTGGTAAATGTTGTTACTCTAGAGAGTCTATTAATATTACTACTACTACTACTACTAATAGTAATAATAGTAACTATGGTAACAACAAGTGATATATATATATGGTACTCTTTGAATGGAATAAGGATAATAGATTGTTCCTTTGAATAAATAATACACTAAACATAAATACATAAAAGTGTTAAAAATAGGTAAACTTTTTTGTTGGTTATTTACGAGTTAATGAATACAAGCAATATTTATTGTTATAGATTGTTTGTTGCTGTCTGTTTTTTTCTTGAACGAGTTTGACGAATTGAAACTGGTGATTGTTTGGCTTGAGATGATTTCGACACTACTGATCTATTATTATTATTATTGGTAGTAGTGGTCTTTAATTTCGACTTATTAGTAATTTTAGAAGTTGATATTTTTTCTTCAATTGGTTGACTTATTTCTGAAGAAGTAGTTATTAACTTACGAGAACGAAGAACACGTCTTTTTGGTGAAACATTAGCAATATTATCAACAGGCGTAACAGAAATACGTTTAATGTGTCGTGAATTTGTTTTAACCTTCAATGTTGTAATATTTTTAGATTCATTAGTTGAAGCAGATTTTGAAGATGAAGTAGTTGGAAGTAGTTTTGATTTAGAAGTGATTAGCTGTTTACGGATTTGCGGATTATTTGTCTTGGTACCATTTTTCTTCTTTTCCTCACCAGATTGGTTTTTCACGGGTAAAGATCTTTCTTCATTTTGTGTGCGTTCAGATGTTATACATTTAATATCCAACTGATCAATTCTACTCCGTAGACGTTTGGCCAATGGAATACTAGAAGAGACTCTACGCACTTCAGCTAGTCTCTTTATAGATCTTTTTGAGGTGTTGTTTGCAGACTTCGTTGCATTGACCGAATGATTGAGCAGAGAATCAGGAAACTGCGAATCCATGGCGGAAACGTTCTTCTTGGTTTTTGACCTAGTTTTCGACGGTTGTATGGCAACCTCATTATTCGATTGAGACACAACTTTTCTAGAGGACGTTTTCATCACGGAACTCTTACCGGAACTGCCTTTAGTGGCAGATTCACTGATCAAAGGATCCGGTGCTTTAACTGCACGTGGAGTACGACTAGATGACAAACATTCAATACTTGGCGGGATCCTTCTATTACGGAGACGGCTTGCGACAGGAACAACAGAATCAGACTCACGATCCTTAGACGTGTTCGAGCTAAAGGATACCGTAGTATGTGAGTTCTCAATAAAACCCATTTTCGAAACTGCAGATTCATCACATGAATTTGATATATCATTAGGAGTCAACCGAGATGTAAATGCGAGAGTCTTCCCTTTCCGAGAATGATTTTCCATCACATTATTCGGGAACGGAACAACCACTTCAGTGAGTTCTTTCAACATCCGTTTATCCAGAGACTTTACAACACTCATTGAACGATCTGAAAGAGAATCAGGATACTGTGAATCCATGGTGGAAACGTTCCTCTTGGTTTTTGACCTAGTTTTCGACGGCTGTACGGTGACTTCATTAGTCGATTGAGATGTAAATTTTCCAGGTAACTTTTCCAAAATGGAACAATCAGAGTTAGCAGATTTATCGACTGAAGACTTCGCAATTTTAACAATACGACGCGTACGGATGGATGAAAGAGACTCAACGACCAGGTCAGAACATTTTCTTATAGAACACTTGTTAACCACGTAATTAAAATCAAAACCACATTGACATTCAGAGAGCAAACAACGACACGTTTTACAATGCCTACGAGACAATGCAGTAACACTAGATAGTTTCTGTGAACTACAATGCACGTTAACACTAGGTTCCTCAACAAACAGTTCACTAACACCAGATATACGAGGTGTTTGCACAGGCTTCGGAGTTCTCATCAACTTCCTAACACCAGTCAAACCAGATTCCTTTCGTGGAGACAACAAACTCTTCTCAGGTGTAACTGCTTCCTCCTCTGTCAAGTTGGTCGGTGGCACTGATGAGGGTCGACCACGACGTCTCTTCACACTAGGTTCATCGACAAACAGTTCACTAACACCAGATATACGAGGTGTTTGCACAGGCTTCGGAGTTCTCATCAACTTCCTAACACCAGTCAAACCAGATTCCTTTCGTGGAGACAACAAACTCTTCTCAGGTGTAACTGCTTCCTCCTCTGTCAAGTTGGTCGGTGGCACTGATGAGGGTCGACTACGACGTCTCTTCACACTAGGTTCATCGACAAACAGTTCACTAACACCAGATATACGAGGTGTTTGCACAGGCTTCGGAGTTCTCATCAACTTCCTAACACCAGTCAAACCAGATTCCTTTCGTGGAGACAACAAACTCTTCTCAGGTGTAACTGCTTCCTCCTCTGTCAAGTTGGTCGGTGGCACTGATGAGGGTCGACTACGACGTCTCTTCACACTAGGTTCATCGACAAACAGTTCACTAACACCAGATATACGAGGTGTTTGCACAGGCTTCGGAGTTCTCATCAACTTCCTAACACCAGTCAAACCAGATTCCTTTCGTGGAGACAACAAACTCTTCTCAGGTGTAACTGCTTCCTCCTCTGTCAAGTTGGTCGGTGGCACTGATGAGGGTCGACTACGACGTCTCTTCACACTAGGTTCATCGACAAACAGTTCACTAACACCAGATATACGAGGTGTTTGCACAGGCTTCGGAGTTCTCATCAACTTCCTAACACCAGTCAAACCAGATTCCTTTCGTGGAGACAACAAACTCTTCTCAGGTGTAACTGCTTCCTCCTCTGTCAAGTTGGTCGGTGGCACTGATGAGGGTCGACCACGACGTCTCTTCACACTAGGTTCATCGACAAACAGTTCACTAACACCAGATATACGAGGTGTTTGCACAGGCTTCGGAGTTCTCATCAACTTCCTAACACCAGTCAAACCAGATTCCTTTCGTGGAGACAACAAACTCTTCTCAGGTGTAACTGCTTCCTCCTCTGTCAAGTTGGTCGGTGGCACTGATGAGGGTCGACCACGACGTCTCTTCACACTAGGTTCATCGACAAACAGTTCACTAACACCAGATATACGAGGTGTTTGCACAGGCTTCGGAGTTCTCATCAACTTCCTAACACCAGTCAAACCAGATTCCTTTCGTGGAGACAACAAACTCTTCTCAGGTGTAACTGCTTCCTCCTCTGTCAAGTTGGTCGGTGGCACTGATGAGGGTCGACCACGACGTCTCTTCACACTAGGTTCATCGACAAACAGTTCACTAACACCAGATATACGAGGTGTTTGCACAGGCTTCGGAGTTCTCATCAACTTCCTAACACCAGTCAAACCAGATTCCTTTCGTGGAGACAACAAACTCTTCTCAGGTGTAACTGCTTCCTCCTCTGTCAAGTTGGTCGGTGGCACTGATGAGGGTCGACCACGACGTCTCTTCACACTAGGTTCATCGACAAACAGTTCACTAACACCAGATATACGAGGTGTTTGCACAGGCTTCGGAGTTCTCATCAACTTCCTAACACCAGTCAAACCAGATTCCTTTCGTGGAGACAACAAACTCTTCTCAGGTGTAACTGCTTCCTCCTCTGTCAAGTTGGTCGGTGGCACTGATGAGGGTCGACTACGACGTCTCTTCACACTAGGTTCATCGACAAACAGTTCACTAACACCAGATATACGAGGTGTTTGCACAGGCTTCGGAGTTCTCATCAACTTCCTAACACCAGTCAAACCAGATTCCTTTCGTGGAGACAACAAACTCTTCTCAGGTGTAACTGCTTCCTCCTCTGTCAAGTTGGTCGGTGGCACTGATGAGGGTCGACTACGACGTCTCTTCACACTAGGTTCATCGACAAACAGTTCACTAACACCAGATATACGAGGTGTTTGCACAGGCTTCGGAGTTCTCATCAACTTCCTAACACCAGTCAAACCAGATTCCTTTCGTGGAGACAACAAACTCTTCTCAGGTGTAACTGCTTCCTCCTCTGTCAAGTTGGTCGGTGGCACTGATGAGGGTCGACCACGACGTCTCTTCACACTAGGTTCATCGACAAACAGTTCACTAACACCAGATATACGAGGTGTTTGCACAGGCTTCGGAGTTCTCATCAACTTCCTAACACCAGTCAAACCAGATTCCTTTCGTGGAGACAACAAACTCTTCTCAGGTGTAACTGCTTCCTCCTCTGTCAAGTTGGTCGGTGGCACTGATGAGGGTCGACCACGACGTCTCTTCACACTAGGTTCATCGACAAACAGTTCACTAACACCAGATATACGAGGTGTTTGCACAGGCTTCGGAGTTCTCATCAACTTCCTAACACCAGTCAAACCAGATTCCTTTCGTGGAGACAACAAACTCTTCTCAGGTGTAACTGCTTCCTCCTCTGTCAAGTTGGTCGGTGGCACTGATGAGGGTCGACCACGACGTCTCTTCACACTAGGTTCATCGACAAACAGTTCACTAACACCAGATATACGAGGTGTTTGCACAGGCTTCGGAGTTCTCATCAACTTCCTAACACCAGTCAAACCAGATTCCTTTCGTGGAGACAACAAACTCTTCTCAGGTGTAACTGCTTCCTCCTCTGTCAAGTTGGTCGGTGGCACTGATGAGGGTCGACTACGACGTCTCTTCACACTAGGTTCATCGACAAACAGTTCACTAACACCAGATATACGAGGTGTTTGCACAGGCTTCGGAGTTCTCATCAACTTCCTAACACCAGTCAAACCAGATTCCTTTCGTGGAGACAACAAACTCTTCTCAGGTGTAACTGCTTCCTCCTCTGTCAAGTTGGTCGGTGGCACTGATGAGGGTCGACCACGACGTCTCTTCACACTAGGTTCATCGACAACAGTTCACTAACACCAGATATACGAGGTGTTTGCACAGGCTTCGGAGTTCTCATCAACTTCCTAACACCAGTCAAACCAGATTCCTTTCGTGGAGACAACAAACTCTTCTCAGGTGTAACTGCTTCCTCCTCTGTCAAGTTGGTCGGTGGCACTGATGAGGGTCGACTACGACGTCTCTTCACACTAGGTTCATCGACAAACAGTTCACTAACACCAGATATACGAGGTGTTTGCACAGGCTTCGGAGTTCTCATCAACTTCCTAACACCAGTCAAACCAGATTCCTTTCGTGGAGACAACAAACTCTTCTCAGGTGTAACTGCTTCGTCCTCTGTCAAGTTGGTCGATGGCACTGGAGATGTGCTTTTATTGTGTTTGTCTTCCTGTGTAATATTTAGCAGGCTATGAGGAACACTGGAGTATAGTTTGTTGTAGTTGTTATTATTATAAGTTTTTGCACCGTAGGTATGGAAGCTTTTTGACTTTTTTTCCTGAATTTTAGCATTATGTTTGTTTGTTGATTTGTTTTTTTTATTTTGTTTGGTTGATACAGGACTAGTTGGTGGGACTCTCGGTGACGGTGTTTTACTTGTTTTCTCTAGGAACCCAAGTGAATGTCTTTTGAAATTTTTTCGGCTGACAGAGGATTTTTTTATTGGAGCAGAGTAAGCCGCGGAAGTTACTGGGAAATTAGAGAAACTTTCATGAGCACAACTAATATCAGTACTCAAGGAATTTAGAAGATTAGTGTCTGGTGTTGGAGGGAGAGAGATGACTGCAGAAACTCGATTATGTGTTACACTGTAATTTGGAGATTCACATGTTTTTGAGAAACCTGATAAATGCGATACTTCTGACAATTTGGAATCAAATGGTGTAGCTGAGTGCCCAACAACTGAAGTGACTTGTAAACTATGGTTTGCTGGGGTACTGTGACTTAGTTTGACTAGTGGAGTTCCACCTCGCTTAACCGGAGTAGACGGGGGAAGAGATTTATCAAATCGTTCAGGGCTTAAGGGTGGGCCGAATGAAACCCCCCTCCGACGTTTAGGAGCAAGCATGTCCTCTGCAACTGGATAAGTTTTACCGGATATGGTACGTTTTCTATTACGGCTAATCAATTCTTGTTCTGTTTCTGGTGAATATGCTATGCTAATTTTCTGCGATGACTTTGCAGACAATTTCCTCGCAATCCTCAGGGAATTCGGTGATGTGGGCAACTCTGGAATATATTCACGGGAACCTTCTGTGGGATGATCAAGGCATTTATCGTAACAAGATTGGTTTTCTTGTTCATTAGATGGTGATCTCTTGCTTTCAATCACCTGCTGCTTTACATAACTTAATTCATCATAAAACTGATTAATTTTGCAAAGGTTGGATTGGTTAGATGATTCATTTAAGATGAGAAGCTTATGGAAACTCTTTCTAAAACCGGGTGAACGTTTATTTTCGTTTGGTGTGAAGTTGAAGTGATCATTAGATAAAGTAGATGTAATAATCGGAGTGTGAATACGGTTTTGTGACCTCACTTTGATAGATGACAAAACACTGCTCGAGGGATGGAATGTTGGATCTGGCAAGTCAGGAACGACAGACGACTTTGTTTGATTTGATTTAGAAACACTCACATCTGTACAGCTATAACCCTTACCATCACCTACACGTTTTTTATTAAACTCGACATTTTCTGCTTGCAATACAGGTAGCTGCTTTGACTGTGATGAATTCGGTTCGTGTCGGAGTACTTGGATTATTGGTGGGGTAGCTGGTTGACGAGGAGGAACTGGACCATAACGTTCGTTGGTCCCTAGGGTTCTTTTCGGAGTCACAGACCTCTGTCGAGGGGAGCGAGTTTTAGGATTAACTAATATCTTTCTAGGAGTGGTACGTTTGGATGGATGAACAACAGGTAGAGAAGTTGGAGTTATAACCTCTTCTTTGTTATAGTGTTTTGGTGTTTTACTGGACGTTTCGTATAAATAATTATCTGTTGTTGTCTTTCGACTCTGAAATTAGGGTAAACAAATTGCAACGCACATATTATATTATTATATTAGCAAGAATATTTTTGTTATTATTACTTCCCGAATGAGAGGAAACTTCCATAAAAACATGTTAACTAGGTGAAAGTTTGTTACTCATGCACATAAACTAAATTTGCTTATTTCACAAGGTTGAAAGAGTAACACAAACTTGCTACCAATTAAACTGCTGTATTTAACAGTTATTTCCACAAGTCATAATGACAGTTAATCAAATTGTCAACTTGTCTGAACCCTGTATCGCAGGGTAGGAGATTCAGATAAATGATGTGATTGAAAACCACAACTTCCGTAACTAGAAATGTGCCGTTAAATTTTATATACACGTTTAAGAATCAAATCTCCAAAATAAGTTTACGTATTTTGATGTGCTCATCTGAAAGGTCACTATACTACACTGAAGAGAAACTAATGTGTTTAATCAAAATTATAAACACGTCAGCAAATGAGTGAAGTATTAAACCAGGTGTATAACTTAGAAAATTGGTATTATTTGTGCAACTGTGACATGTTTTTTAATGTCACGGGGATTCGCTATTTCGAGAAAACTACTCGAGGATATTACACCATTTTAAGTCTTAAACAGTTTGTGAGTCTACAAGCTATATATTACATTATAGTCTATTTAGCCTTTGCTATTTAGAACCAAGTCGTGCCTTTTGAAACTGAGAACACTCAACACTCCATAATGTATTGCCTGTATTTTTCCAATAAGTATCATGAAATGTTACTATCCACATAGAACTAGACTAAACAATTACATCATTCAGGAATTATATTTCAGCATAAGCGAATTACTTCCGAATTCGTTAAGCATAAGTGCATTCGCCAAACTCCACTGTGAATCATAAACACATGGAAAGACCAGAGTAAAAGAATCATACATATATATCACAGATTGAAATCATGAGTCAATTGAAGCTAGAACATCATGGAAAACCTGGAAGCACTGGACGACCGTTTCGTCCTAGTATGGGGCTCCTCAGAAGTGCGCATCCACGATCCTGCACCGCGCGAGACTCGAACCCAGGCCCTATCAGTCTCGCGCCAGGCGCTTAACCAACTAGACTACTGAGCCGGCATCCAACGGTGTTAATGTCTAACTTCAATCTGTGAAATTTCTAAAATCTCCACAAAACCCATTCTGATAATAAACATCTGCTCATTAGTGACTGACTTCAAGAAATACTCCTGGAGTTCTAGTGAGAAGTCGTTACCAGTGGAGTTCAACTAGGTCTGTTGTGAGATAGGAACTTATTAAAAACAATGGTGTACGGTGGCGCAACTTTGTGGATTGGTAGAAGTTAGACATTAACACCGTTGGATGCCGGCTCAGTGGTCTAGTTGGTTAAGCGCCTGGCGCGAGACTGATAGGACCTGGGTTCGAATCTCGCGGGGTGCGGGACCGTAGATGCGCATTGCCGAGGAGTCCCATACTAAGACGAAACGGCCGGCCAATGCTTCCAAGTTTTCCATGGTGTTCTAGCTTCAATTGACTCATGATTTTAATCTGTGAAATTTCTAAAATCTCTACAAAACCCATTCTGATATATATATATATATATATATATATATATATATATATATATATATATCAATTTACTTTATTTATTTAAACGTAAATATTGGTACAAAGGGACACAATACTTTACATGCGCCAAACAGTAAAGAAACAAATTTGTGAAGAGATAGAGAAAAAAGAGTGAACATAATGGAAAAATGAATAGGAATCAGTGTGAGAGAAAAAAAATGATGGGAGCAATTCAGTTACGAAAAATGAAACCAGAAAGAATTCTCTCAATTCAAGTTCGTCTCAAATACAGCGAAAGAAAATTACAACAGGATCGCCACCGGCTTCTGTTCTGAGTCATGTCTGAAGCCCCAACCAGGGAATCGTGAAGGACCAACAGAGGCCAGCCCTATACAGATTTCTTTCATACCACAACACCATGTCGTACATCGACCACCTTTTTTTACAACTAGTCTCAGCCTCTGGAAAAAAAAGCGCGATATGGAATTCTCTGAGACGACATTAGTACTATATGCCCAAGCCGCCGAAGTTGGTGCCCCAAGATGGTGACACTAATTGAATTGTCGTCGTTGTGCCCAAATACATGCGTTTATCCAGGAACCCTATGGTTTGGCTTTGCTGGCGTTGGTATCGCATTAAGCGCTGAAGCTGATGCATTGCCAGTTGATTGGGTCCCCATTAACAGTCGGTTTTGTGCTGTTAGATTAAGAATTTCCATCAAAGTGAGATATTGGTGTGGGAAACCATGCTTTTTCGCCATTTCCGCCTACTCTCCGACAGATTTCAGCTCAGATGCGATCAAGAATGAATTTTATTACCAGTTAAATGTTTTTCTACATAAAACGCGTTCGACAGGTATTGTAGTACTAGCCAGAGACCTGAATGCACAGATTAGGCGTCTAGACATAGAGGAGGAACGTTCGGGTGGCAGATGGGGGCTTGCAGGTTTCAGGTCAGATAATGGTACCGTCTACTGCAAATCTTTTCAGACTACAACCTGTTTCTGTCTAGCACCAACTATCGGCACAGTCATCCTTGATGTGAAAACTAGCGTCATCCATCTACATCTCAAGCCTGGACTCGGGGCACAGATTGCCCACAAATGCCCTGATATGGCCGATAGTGGGGAGGGTCCGCTCTCCCTCTCGAAATGCTCTCACATGGCCACGGAAGTCCTACTCACTGCCTTCTCGTGGCGGGGGTGTTGTTTACGAAAATGTGAGGACGAAAAGCGAATGTCCGGTGCCTTAACCAGATTCCAAACCACTGGTTTGTGTGCCACACCTATCCCGAAAATTTTCAGCAGTCTCATGGTTTCTGATATTCCTTGTATGTACGGTATGGTGATCCTTTTGTTGATTTTTGTGCTTGACTTGGGTTCTGATGCTGTGTGCCGTTGATGCTTTTTGATCAACTTCATCAACAAAAGGATCACCCTACCGTACATACAAGGAATATCAGAAACCATGAGACTGCTGAAAACCTTCGAGATAGGTGTGGCACACAAACCAACAAAATCACTACAATCAATCCTATGCAAACCAAAAGATGAAATAACAAAGGAAAACAAATCAAACATCATCTACAAAATAAATTGTACCAACTGCGACAAACACTACATCGGACAAAGCGGACGCCCCCTCCACCTACGCCTACATGAACATCAATTAGCAGTCAAATGCCATGATATCTCTTCACTTATATCAATGCACGTGGATAACCACGGACACTCATTCGATTGGGAAAATGTAGAAATCTTAGACAGAGGAAACTCCAAAAACATCAGAGAATTTTTAGAAGCCTGGCACTCAGGTCAATCAACAAACATATTGAAATCAATCCAATTTACCAACCAATCAGAAAAATCATGCATAAATATAGGAACAAAAATCAAACCAATGGGAGACACAACCAAAACAAAGAAGTAAACAATGATAAATGTAAGGTCAACAAGAGCCAATCAACATCGAGGTGCACAGAACAAGCTGTGAAACACATATGGAGAAATTTGAACACTTCACTTCTATCTGAAGTTTGTGCTGATGATGTCGTTCAGAAGAACGATGAAAGCTCCACGACCAAACTATCCAGCTCAGAGAACAAAATCATCCACCTGAGCTACAAATCTTCTCCACCATCTCAACGATCGTAATGTTACTTGATATTAGGGCTGCCTTCGATTCGTTGGATAGGACTGTTTTTTTGGGATTGTCTATTGAAGTGTGTCTGAAAAATTTATGAACATCATGAAAGCCCTATATACAAACATCTCAGGCAGAGTGAGGGCATACAACCACCTCTCTCCATTGTTACATTCAAGCAGTGGGGTTAGGCAGGGTTGCCCAACCTCACCATTCCTCTCCAACTTTGCTATCGATAGCGTTCTAGAAACAGCTCTGATGGATGCAGGTAATGGTGGTGTGGATCTGCTACCTGGAGAAAGACTTGTAGATCTTGAGTATGTGGATGATATTGTCTTACTGTGTGATGATACCCAAACCATACAATCCGCACTTAATCAGTTGGCAATTAGTGTCCGTAGGTATGGTCTGTGTTTCGCACCTTCGAAGTGCAAAGTACTTTTACAAGACTATCAGGACCCTGAATCTGCACTCATCTTGGATCGTTAGCAGACAGGAGTAGTCGGGAAGTTCGTGTATCTGGGAACTGAGTAAATGCTGGTGATGGCTTGAGTGATGAGAATAATTCACGTATAGTGAAAGCCAGAGCGGCTAATGCCAATCTGGGCTATCGTTGACTCCGTCATTAGTCTGGCTGTAAAATGTCGGATCTACAATGCGTTGGTGAGTGCAGTTTTGCCGTATGCTTGTGAAACCTGGCCTCTCCGAGTCGATGATGGTAGAAAACTCTGTGATCATCGTTGTCTGCAAAGGATTGCTGACATCCAGTAGCGAAATCATGTTAGTAATGCAGAAGCTCGGCATTGTGTATCCAAGTACATCATCTTGGAACATCGACTTCTGTGGCTTGGACACGTTTTATGGATATTGTCCCAGCGATTTCCACGTCGTGGAGTATTTGGCAACGCTGGGACTGCCTGGAAAAAGTGGGTGGTCGTTGTATGAAAGAAAGCTGAATAGAACTGACCTCTGTTGGCCATTCACGATTCCCTGGTTGGGGTCCTAAATATGATGCAGCCCTGTGGCTAGAGACGTTATCAAGCATGACTCAGAATCGAAGTCAAAAGAGATCCTGCTGTTTCGTTCTTCATAAAAGTGGATGTACCTTCTTTAACTTAAATTCTTTCTGGTTCTGTTTTTGCTATTACTATTATTTCACGTCCACACACTAATTTCTGTTCGTTGTTATTATTATTATTATACGCAGTTACACTATCTCTTTACGAACTTATTGTGTGGAGCAAATGCACTTGGCGCCCCGTTGTACTAATGTTTGTGTTCAAATAAATAAGTCTTTTATCTACTCACCGCCAAGAATGAGTGCAGATCCAGCGTCATGTGAGTCTTGGAAAAGTACTTTGCATTTAGAATGTGCAAAGCTCATGCTATACCTATGAACATTGTTTGTCAACTGGTTAAGTGAAGTTTTACCACGAATGTAGTTAAGTCTTCTTAATTCCTATATTTCATCTTTGAATTTTTCCCTTATTAGGTTAAATTATCTTTACCGTTTGTTAATAAAATAGATATGTTTTGACAAGTTTGTTTTATTTCAAATTGTATTTACATGAAACAGTACAGTACTTCTGTAAACAACTGCCGTGGACAAAACAAGATCAAGGCACCTAACCGACAAAACTCATAACTATTACATAGATGAAACTACACTTATTTAGCTAAGACGTTATGTCGCACACACCTATTTGCTAATGGCTAGCACACGACCAGGTTGGACGAAGATGGAAGGACTGTGGGTGAGCGGTGTCGGTAAGTGTGGAGTTTGAGGCTGATGTGTGCGACAAACCTGACTCATACTGGCTCTTGATAACAACTTGAAATCTATCAAGGCTGAGTAGATATATCGTTTTCGGCTACCCTTAATCTGAATTTAGAAGCGTTTTCTTACTTTCATCCTTTAGATTTACAAGTTTATTTCGAAGACTTTAGTTTTCGCCACTTACTGTTACCGCTTTGTTCCCGATGTTCACTATTTCCTGTGTTGTTATGAGATATAGTAATGGATTGATACGCTGATTTTAGACCTTATACTAACAGAATATTTAAACTGAAACTCCAACTGTACAGTTGGTTTTACCGCTAAATTCAGCGGGATTAGTAGCCGAGTTTATTGGACTTATCAGAAATTAGTCAGACTGAAACACTTAGGTATGATACAAAACGCATTAAATAATGCCAATGAACGCATGTATAGTAGGACTAATGTCTAAAACAGAATGTACATGCACGAGGTTTCTCAATAATCTAGGGATTTTAAGACCATTTTAGGTAGTCAAAAACCTCAGATAAGTTCTTCAAATAACTAAATATGCACCATTTATGAAAGAAGATAAATGAGCCAGACCAGAATCAATATCAAACACTTATAAAGACGGTTTGTCTATAAAACTGCTGCACCAGATGAGTTACTAGTGTACAACAAATGACCAGGAAATAACAAATGGATGGGAATCATCCTATTATCTACGGTAGTAGAAAGGGCATATGATGCTAAAACTATTACGAACATATTAATTTAATTCATCTTTAACCAAACAGACTCACTGATGGATAGAAAAAGCGAAACTGACGATCCCCAACAGTTAGTATGCAATTATCAGTCAAAACGCAAGCATCGTTCAACGGGAAATTATTAACTAACATTTTGTATCGTCCATCTACTCTGCTGACGGCTTGAACTAATCCATCTTTCAGTAGTTGCAGGGTACAATGAAATGGAGCGACTGTTGAGTGTTGCACACGAATGTCACAAGACTGGTTACTGCGAAAAGAGGTTGCAAGTGAATATATTATTTACCTCCCAATATCACACAAGGGCGAACACCAATCGCAAGTTAAACCATCAGTACCATCCCTACGGATGACAACTATATGTCCACTAGGATTCATACGTTTTACACGATTTTTAAATACTCTGATGGATGCAATTGAACTACTACGAATCCGCGACAGAGTCGAATTCAAACTCAAAACACGGTACTCGACGGCCTTCACCAAATATCATTTTCAGATAACAAAACACTCAATGGAAAACGGGCACCAAAGCATACTTGATATATAACTGAAAGAAGTTGAGTTTAAGTTATAAATATTTACATGCCTAAATTAACACATTATCGTCTGGTGAGGACTGTATATCAATTCAATAATCTGAGCTGCTTCAATTGCCAATATCTTTCGATTGAGCTAGTGTGTGTTATTTATTCGTCTTTCTGAGTGGAACAATATGTTGTGCCATCCTTCTTTGCTCTGTGCATAAGTCACATCCCATGTATTTCTAGGACGTGTCGATGATTAATTTCAAGATAATGAGGTTGAAGAATCGAATACGGTCATGTCACTAAACAGCTATTACACTAATCAAACGCAGTCAAGATATATGAAGAAGTAAACGCAAAATTTACACGTGTAGTGGAGAAATAACGTCAATTGAAGCAATGAGATGGTATTTCATATGTACTTTACTACCCGGTGTTTTAACACAAATAGCCGCCCTAATGGGTTCTTTCAAGTTTAATCATTGTTCCCTGATAGTCTTTGAAACGAACCAAACGTTTTAAAGTCTGAATGTGACTTCACAAGATATTTGATATCACTGAACCTGTAGAACCTAGGTCTAGAATGGCTAGTAGTGCACTTATCTATCGCAATAGGGTATAGATCTAGTTTAGCGTGACGTGCCTGCTTAGTCAACAACATCGTACGTAGAAGTCACATAGTTGTCTGTACTGACGCGTCTCGTCGAGAAAGTCAACAACATTTAAAGAAAACCTTTGGGTTGGAAATAGAATAATACACTTGACACAATGACCTTGACGTTACACAGAGTGACTGAGCCTGCATTGCCAAGCCGTGCTTTCACGATTAAATGCTCCTGCGTTCACCTTCTCCGACCTTCTATAAGTGTTCATGGACTATTATAGATCCTCCAAGTCACTGAATGTTCAGCTTCAAGGATCGTGTGGTTAGAGAGTAATATCAATACTGACATTCCTGAAACTATCATTAACATCCACTTTCTGTAGCGGCGAACGTGTTAGTAACTGTAGAACTATGGTCCATTATGATATTAGCACTGCTCTAATAATAGACCTAATCTAAAACTGTAGATTCGTCATGCTATAACTGCCTAATCTATAAGATTTTACGTGGAAGCCACATCATTGTCTACACCAACTCACTGTATCGTAACAATTACTAATACATGATGGAGAACGAGCTTAGGCTAGAGAAAGAACAATGTATTTAATATGAATAAAAGATATAAGGTAACATTCCGCAGGGACCACGCCTGCATGGCCGAGCCATGCCATCCGATCAACTCCAATTAAATTCGATTATTCTTTCCGCCCTCTTCATCGTTTGGTTCTTCTCCGTGTCAAATGCTAAATGTCAATTTCCCACACTGTCTCGTATTAGAGCGCAATTCCACTACATAACTACCACACCTCGCTCAAACTCCGTATCACAGAGAAATTATTGTACATAGATAACCGCGGCTACGAATTCGTTTGCACAAATGTCAAAACTTAAGGTCGATGTATTTCTGTTGGTGATAGAGAATTTTGGTAGGTTTGGCATCTGAATCAATCGGCAAATGATTATGTTTCAAATTGATTAGCCTTTAAAAAAGGTGAACAAGCCATATTGTTAGAGTTTGACCAAAATAGTAAATCAATAAGGATGGGGGGGGCAAAGAATGGTAATAAAGCCTGAGAAGACAGACAGTCGCAAACAATGGAGTCAACAAAAATGACCCGCCGCTTGTGGATCAAGCAAAAGCCTACTCAAATATGATGCATGGCCCGATTCTTGCGTTGAGAACAGAAGTGGGGACTCCGGACTTAGACCGTTTAGTTCCAACAAAACTAAGAGCACTGAAAGGATGCTTTTGTGTTGTAGATTTTCCATATCATCTCAAAACGGTTCACACTTCTTTTAATGGGCGTAAAAATGCCCTTATTTTAGGAACCTCAACCTTCACAATCTCTCTTCTTCCAAGCATGTGGGACGTTTTGGCCACAACATTTGTGGTGAGTGATGAGTACACTTACCATGTAGTCAAATATTTTATTCTGTGTTTTAATCTGTTTTAACGACATATTGCAATTTCACACTGTGTACTCATCACTGTGTCTCATCAAATTTCTGTACTTATTGGGATTAGGAGTACTTTGTTGATAAATTTCACACTCATATCTAGCGTCGCGACACTAATGGACCCAAAAAACTTGAGAAAATCGCCGATCATCTCTGAAAATGAGAACTTTTTCAGAATATCTTGTCACCTAGTGTCAGCCATATGACTTCAGGGAAGACAGAATTTCAGTTCATTTTAATGACTTTTATTGGTAGAGAAACCTGTAGCTCTTCAAAAGATTATACATTTCCTGATAATCCGATTCTACTTTCCTCCAGCAAACTAAAGAGATTGCTAAGCGATCGTTCTGAAACTCTTGAAAGAGCACAGGTCAACGAATCAGTCCGAGTCCCTTATCGAACTATGGGAAATTTCACGTGATGGCTTGAGTTTTAAGCTTTTGGTTTGGATTTTGGTGAAAAGCTGCACATATAGTGCTACGATCTACTGACTGCTGTTATAAAGTGCTGGAAACTAAGAAACCAGCCTAAACAAATTATTCCCTGTACTTTCCAGACAGCTAAATATTTCTGTTTTACCTTTGAGTTTATTAATAGTAACCCTTTTGGTGCTGGTACGCAACAAAATGATATCTCATTATCAAACACGAAATAAACCTCTAATTTCTTCGAATAGTAATCGTTTCAATTCATTTAGACAAGCGAATAACGCGAAAAACATTTTTAATCCGACTTTAATAATAATGACAAAATATTTCTGAATGTGCAGGTACACGCCACTTTTACAGGGTTGATCTATAAATTACAACATTTGTTGGTGCACAACATGCTTCCCAACTTATTAAGTTTATCGTTGTTATAAAGTAGACTCGTAGAGCGCTTGTAGGAAACTATGACCTTGAGGAGACCCATACGTCAAGTTTGTTCCAGACGTCAGCAGTTTCATAGCTGTGCTCTCAGAGCAAGATTCTGAAGAAGAAAAAAGAGACACAGAAGAGCAGCAAGGCACTTGGATATGAACGCCAAACCTTGCTTAACATTGTGTAGTAGAACAGACAGAGGTATAATAAATTAGATTCATTTCCTATTATCTCTTGTTAGAGTGAAATGAAGTCAGTGGCTCCATATAAGAGAATTTAGTAATAAAGAACAGTAAATCCTGTCTTTCATGTGGTAAATTGCATCTTCGTAATTCATGTCAATCTCGTTGTGCACGTATCCGTAAATTCGGAATAATTGGGCAGGTATAGAAATTTTGTAAATGTTTTAAATCATCTTCTACTAAGACGCCGAATAGTTGTGTAGCGTGGCGTCGAGTTGAGGTTAACTATGAACACCGCTACCAAGAAACACGTGCCAGAATAGATCAGAAGGCGAAGGTTGGACGTGACCAAATAGATCCATAAAATCTCCGAGAAGCCAAATATCAGAAGGCAGTTAATGGACCAAATCGAGATATATTCGCTGGCGGTCTCGTGGCATCGAAAGGATACTGAGATCGTGCCAGAATACAAGCTTGGTTACAGAACGTAACCGAATTCGCGCGAAGTTACAATCAAAGGTGTAAGTAAAGGAATGGAAGCAAAATATAGCTGTCATTAGCACAGTCAAACAAAAGCACATTAAAACAAGCACTGGTACAGTTGGTTATAATAATAATTGTTTCTATTAAACCAGTCGTGTTCTCGTGATAAATGTGAGCCACTACAGTTGTAGGTAGGAACCAATTGATTAGACTTAGATGTGGATTCGTTGTCGCACACTACCGCCCACAGAAGTATTTTACACCCGTTCAAAACCTAATTACTAAAACAACCAAGTCCAACTCGTTCATCTTGCTGAAAACTGAAGAGGATGCTTGTGTGAGTATTTCTTTTTTGGTTAGTGAGCACGACCCATCCATTGTTGGGTTAAAAGGCCTCAGAATACCAAACGTGTGCATTTCTTTATGCACCAGTTCTCCTAATAGTACCTTAATCAGAGATCCAATCTTGCATTGGTAAAAGACCTTGAGAGATTTCAAAATGTAACCAGCACACTTGGAATTAAGGAGAGAGTTCGTCTTCTTGAAGTATCGGCTAATTTTATGTGTTTTATTAGAGGCTGCGAAGAGTGAGTTAGATAAACTAGTTAAGAACGGATAATGGCTCCAATTGAGTCGTTTAGTTGGGCTACTCCTATTATGACTTCATTGAAAGCGAATGTAAAGAGCACATAGAATATGTGGTGATAACCACTTGACACTAGATGCTCGGCTATCGCAGCAGAGCTGCGCCACTGAAGAAATTGAGGACATTTTATGTAAAGTACGAGAGTCATGGTATTTTTCAAAAACAGACCTGAAAGATACGTAATTGTAGAATTCACTCTACGAGATCTCTAGCGAACTAACCGCTACTAAAACATCATTCGGGTTGTTCAGATGCAAATTCCTACCGTTCATACTATATGTTTAGTCCGAGATATTACGGAGGATTATAAATCAAATAATCACCAGTTTGATGGTTTTGAATTGCATCAGTATTATGTCATAAATCATGCTGACAATATTGATTTGCACAACAAGCATCCTTCAAAGTTATTTAGGCGCTTTTGTGATGCAAATGTGGCCGTTAATCTATCCTAGTGTCAGTTTCAATCTAATTATATCAAGTATCTAGGTCATATCAAAGTATATACTGAAGCTTACTTGGCGACCTGATTGGATATCCGGGCTAACTGTTCGTCCCTTCTAGATATTTCAACAAGCTATTCTTTTTATTATTCTATTTTGACACATTACGTCTTTTGATCTCATATACTGTTCATGTGCGTATAGGAAACAATCATGACCTAGCACTTCACAAGGTACAAAAAAACAACCAGAGAGATCGTGGTGGCTGGCAGTGTGCATTG